TATTCATAGAATACAAGTGTTGCTGGCTCAGCCAATGTAATTGCCCAACCCGAGCTATCCTGGAGAAGGCAGCAATGAGCTGCTCCCTGAACCACTGCAGCCCCAAATGGTATTGCTACACCCGCAGTGATGTTCAGGAGGGAGGTCCCAGATTCTAACCCAGTGAGAATGAAGGAGCGGCAAAATAGATCCAAGTCAGGATGGTGTGTGGCTTGGAGGAGAACTGGCAGATGATGATGTTCTCATGCCTCTGCTGTCTTCTGGGTGGTAGAAGCTACTGGTTTAAGAAAAGCTGTTGACAAACAAAAGCCTTTTGTGAGATGCAGCAGTTCATCCTCGAGATGTTACGTACTCCAGTCAACGGTGGGCTGGTGATGGAGGGAGTAAATATCTAACACTTTGGAGGACGTGGGATGCTTTATCCAGCATGGTGCTGAGCTCCTTGAGCTTTTCTCTGGAGCTTTATTCATCTAGTGACGTAGACAGTAATCCATCAGGCTCCTGAATCATGCATATGAACATACATCACTTCCAGCAAATACAAATGAACTGATTGTCCTATGTTGGTTATTGGTGTAGCTACTGGTATACTCAGAGTTGTTCAGCAAGTGTTGCCCAATCACAGAATCACATCTAACAACCAACATTTTGTTTTGGGCTTGCACAGTCTTTAAAACGAACAGCCCAAGACACGCACTGAGTTGATTAACCAGTCATTTGGACACAGCTCTTTTACACTTGCTCGAAGCTGTTTTCACATTCATTTGCATGGGCCCATTCTCTGCAAAGAAGAGGCGTATGGCTAAACCTTCACGTGCCTGATACTCATTTCCCGAACTGGGCCAATGTCCCAGTTAGTGAGGTGGCCTTGGTATCTGGCCACCTCCGCTTTCACATTGAACCTGTTGCTGGGGGCCAGCAGTCACAAAAAGCTTCTGCAGCAGGGACACAGAGAAGACAGACACAGCTCTCAAGAACACCATGCAAAAGGAATTGGCAGGACCAGGCAGGCAGGATGGGGAATCGGAGGATCAAGAAATGACCCAAATCATGACTCCCAGATTAAAATCTGGATTGCGTTTCAGCCATATTTGGTAGAAGGCACCCCTGGTGCTGTTAAATTCAGATCGAGGCTTCCTTCCCTTGAACAGAAGTACATTCAGGACTCCTACAATGGGAAACAACCAGGAAATTCTACGACTGTGCAGTGCTCTGTTCCATTGGGACACCAAGAGTACCTGAGAAGTACAGGTTGCTGGCAAACAGTACCAATAAAGCTGATTGAAATATGCCTCATTTCAGATCCTAAAAGAGTCAAATCATACAAAAACCCGCTAGATGGTCATCGACAAACCTGGCAATGTTGTTGAACAGCCCAGAGCACCTAATTATCACTTGAATTAAGCTGTTAACTTGATGCAAACTGGTGTTACTTTTCATTACAGTTCAGACACAATAAATATATCACCCACTAGGTAAATACTGAATAACAGAGTCGTCACGGACTGGAGAGCCACACAGTGGGATCCAAAGGAAGAATAATGTCCTCCCAAGCACGAGACCCAATTCCACCATCAAACTTTGAACATGACCCCTCTCATTCAGTATTTTGTGGCAAGATCAGAGGAGAAAGCCTGATGGGATGCAACAGCACACCAGTGATAAAGACTTCATTCATTCTAACAGGAATAAAAGTCCGCCATTGAACTCCTCAAAAGCCTATTCTACTATTTTTTTAAAACGTGGCTGATCTGTACCTCAACTATATTTAACTGCCCTAGATCCATATCCATTGATACTTTTACCTCACAAAAATCTATGAAACTCACATTGGAGAATTTCCATTTACCAATTTATTTTTGGAACGGGTTTAAGTTCCAGACTTGTACTTTTTTTTATGGCTAAACTGGTACCTTCTTTGCTGTAGATGATCTATGGGGATCTAGAATGTTTTACTTCCTCCTCCTGTACGGGGGCAGTGCAAGTAACAGTTTGTTAAACATCTTCTGGTTATAACTGCAAAGGATAAAAGAGAGAAGCTTTTCCCTTCTGTCTGTTGCTCTAACACTCAGCAAAAAATCAATAAAATGGCTGCTGATAAACTCTCATAAACAATTTGATCAGTAGCCGCACTTGAGGTGAAATATAAGATTCTTAAAAGGGCTTCGCAAGGCAATAAAGTCTTCATTTGATAGTACCTTGCACAACCAAAGATTATCCAAAAGCAATCTGCACCCAAATAAGCATTCTTGAAATGCTATTATTGTGGTCAAGTAGGAAAAGCAAGCTCCCACAAATCGCTCATCCCCCTCCAGTGGTCCCCGACATCACAGATACCAATCTTCCTGCATATCAGTTCACTTCACATGATAGCAAGAAGCGGTTGGAGGCACTGGATACTACAAAGGCTATGGGCCCTGACAACATTCTGGCAACAGTCCTGAAGACTTGTGCTCCAGAACTTGCTGCTCCCCTAGCCAAACTTTTCCGGCATAGTTACAACACTGGTATCTACCTGGCAATGTGCAAAATTGGCCAGGTATGTCCTGTACACGAAAAGCAGGACAAATCCAACTCAGCCAATTTACCACGCCCCCACCCCCCACCCGAGCAGTTTGCCCTCGATCATCAGTAAAGTGATCGAAGGTGTCATCAACAGTGCTGTGGAACAGCACCTGCTCAGCAATAACCTGCTCAGTGACACCCAGTTTGGGTTCTGCCAGGGCCACTCAGCTCTGGATCTCATTAGAGCCTTGGTTCAAACATGGACAAAAGAGCTGAATTCCAGAGGTGATGAGACTGACAGTCATTGACATCAAGGTCATGTTTGACTGAGTGTGACATCAAGGAGCCCTAGCAAAACTGGAATCAATGGGTATCAGGGGGCAAACTCTCCAGTGATTGGAGTCATACCTGACACAAAAGGAAGATGGTTGCCGTTGTTGGAGGTCAGTCATCTTAGCTCCAGGATATCTCTGCAAAAGTTTGTCAAGGTACTGTCCCAGGTCCAACTGTCTTAGGTTGCTTCATCAATGACACTCCCTCCATCATAAGGTCAGACATGGAGTTGTTTACTGATAACAGCACAATTTCCAGCTCCATTCATGATTCCTTAGTTATTGAAGCCGTCCATGTCCAAATACGACAGGACCTGGATAATTTCCAGGTTTGGACTGACTTGTGGCAAGTAATATTTGTGTCAGGCAGAGTAAGTCAGTGACCATCTCCAGAAAGAGACAATCAAACCATTCAGCCTTGATGTTCTATGGTGTTACCATCACTGAAACCCCCCACTATCGACATTCTTGGAGAGGGGGGTGGTTGGGGACGGCTGTGGTGTTACCATTGACCAGCATCTGAAACAGACCAATCATATAAACACAGTGGCTATAAGACCAGGTCAGAGGCTAGGAATACTCTGGTGAGTAACTCACCTGCTGGCTCCCCAAAGCCTGCCCACCACCTACAAAGCACAAATCAGGAGTGTGGTGCAATACTCCCAACTTGCGTGGATGGGTGCAGCTCCAATGACACTGAAGAAGCAACACCACCCATGGCAAAGTTGTTCATTTGATTGGCGAGAAACATCCACTCCCTCGGCTACCGACGCTCACTAGCAGCAGTGTGTACCATTTACAAGACGCACTGCAGAAATTCACCAAGGCTGCTCCAACATCACCTCCTAAACCCAGAACCACTTCCATCTTAGTGACTAGGGCTGCAGATACATGGGAACACCATCATCTGCAAGTTCTCCTCCAAGCCACACACCATCCTAGTGTAGAAACATATCACCATTACTTCACGGTTCACTCACTAACAGCACTGTGGGTCAACCCACAGCAGGAGGACTGCAGCAGTTCAAGGTGTCAGCTCACCACCACCTTCTCAAGGGCAACTAGGGATGGACAATAAATGCTGGCCAGCCAGTGACACCCACTTCCCATGAATGAAATAAAAATGCAGCAAATAATAACAAATAACATTTCTTTTTGTGTGGCGTGTTTATTGAAGAATAAATAAACGGCCAGAACTCCAGAGATAACCCTCACTCATATTTAGTGCCGAGTGCTAAGAGGAAAGACAGGGCCTCTGTTTAAATTTTCATGTGATGGAAGGAATGTCCAACAATACAGCACTCCCTCATTGTGCAGGAATGTCAGTCTGGATTATTCTGCTCAAGTTAAGCAGTGCAGCTTGAACCAACTCAGCCATCTGAGTCAGGAAGTGCTATTAACTGTGAGTGCTCAGTCATTGATACATTCCAATCAGAGGTATTTGATATAATAAGAATCATGGAATAACGCAAGAAGATGCAGTTGAACTAGAAAATATTTACATATTGAACGGTGTTGTTGGTTAAAGGGTATATGCATGGTCTGCTAGTTTATCTCATAGAATCCCTACAGTATGGAAAGCAGGCCATTCAGCCCATCGTATCCACACTGACCCTCTGAAGAGCTCCCCATCTAGACCCACACCCCTACCTTTCCCTGCAACCCCCCAAGCCTCCACACTATGGGCAATTTAGCATAGCCAATCCACCATAACTGCACATCTTTGGACAGTGGAAGGAAACTGGAGCACCCAGAGGAAACCCACGACAGACACAATGTGCCAACTCCACAACAGACAGTTGCCCAAGGGTGGAATTGAACCTGGGTCTCTGGCACTGTGAAGCAGCAGTGCTATCCACTGAGCCACCACACCATCCTTGTGGAAGGGAGGCAGGACAGGTTTTAAGTTAGGTATAGTGCAAAAAAAGTGGCCCAGAAGCCTTTTAGGGTATTAACACTGAAAGATTCTCATTGCAGTTCTCCCACTCTCCAACCCCCAAATACCTCCCTGGGGTTTAGAGCACTGGTGTTACCCTCCCTTCCTATTTACAGGATGAGCTCCCCCTCCTTGAAGTGGTAGGGTGGATGCACTTATCCCAATGCTTGCCATGTTTGCCTGGCCACAGAGTGGAGTCCCTGCCTCACACAGGCTCTAGCTCTTACCTCTTGCGGCAGCTCCAACTTGGACCGGTCATTGGGCTCCTTGGACTGCAAGCCCATCAAGTACGGAACGGGAGCGTCGAGGAAGTGCAGCAGGGAGGCCGGGAGAATGGGAACGTAGACATGCTGCCACTGGAAGGGGAAGAGGAGCGTGGTGATTCCTTCAGCTACTGTCATCAGCCGCTGGTAATCTGAAAGCGGATAGTTATCGGTGTTTATTTCTTGGTGGGAAGCACAGGAGAGGAAGGTTTCAAATTTTCAACAAAAAGTCAATGCAAATCATTTTGCCACCAAATGCTTAGTCTTTTTTCAACAGTCTGTTGTCAAAGTACCAGTCTCTATGTTGAGCTACTTCAGATAACAGCAGTTTGCAACCTGTTTGGACAAGTTTCACAAACTGATATCGATATGTTTGATTAGGCAGTAAAAGACTTTCAGGGATTTACCAGGTTTTATTGTAAATCTATAGATTACCAGTTTCCACAGTTCCCATCTGGACACTGTCCAGAAGGCAAAACTCCCCAATTGGTAAGAACCCAGCTTGCTTTCTCCTTTACACCCAATGAACAAATTACAAACAAGAACCAAAAGAACTGCAGAGGCTGTAAATCAGAAGCAAAAACAAAGTTGCTGGAAAAGCTCAGCAGGTCTGGCAGCATCTGTGAAGGAGAAAACAGAGTTAACGTTTCAGTTACTGAGGGTCCAGTGACTGAGGGTTCTGAGGAAGGGTCACCAGACCCGAAACGTTAACTCTGTGTTCATTGTGTGTTTCCAAACTGCAATTGATTTTGTCATTTCCTGCAGGTCCTCTCATGGTCTGGAGAATTTGTTTGAGATTTTATCCTGCCAACAAATTATGTCAGCATAAGAAGAGGAGTAGGTCATTTAGTCTCTTGAGCCTGTTCCGCTGTTCAATGAGATCATGGCTAATCTGTGGCCTAAAACCACAGACCTGTCTTTTGACCCGTATCCTTAAATACCTTTGCTTACCCAAACTTTAGCTACCTCAGATATAAAATTAACAACTGACCCAGCATCTGCTGCCTTTACTGGAAGAGAGTTCCAAACATCTATCACTCTCTGTGTATAGAAGTGTTTCCAAATATCTCCTCTGAACGGTCTGGCATTAATTCTCAGACAATGCCCTCTGTTTCTAAAATTCCCGACCAGTGGAAATAGTTTATCTACCCTGTCTTTTCCTGTTAATGCATTGAAGTTCTCAATCAAACTTCAATTGATTTTGGTGGGAGAGTTCCAGAGCTCTGATCTGAAACCTATCGTATACATGTGATCATTGTGAGGAAAATGTATGGGCACGACCAAAAATAGATTACTCGAAGATTGTCACTTATCAATTTTGGAAGATCTTCATCACCTGGAGGGCATTGAGAATGCTCAAAGGCACGATAGGCAGTTAGGTATTTAAGAGAAAGTTAAATAAGCACAGTGAGTCATAGATGTTTACAGCATTGAAACAGGCCCTTCGGCCCAACATGTTCATGTCGCCCAGTTTTCACAATTAAACTGGTCCCACTTGAGACAGAAAGAAATAGAAATGATGTTGACATATGGAAGGAGACTGCAGGGTGACCTGTTCCTGGGCTGAAAATTCAACACAATTAAACTGCTACCCGGATCTCTTGATTTCGAGAACAGATAAGGAAGGTGATCAGGAGCCCACGCCTAGGGATTGGCCAATCCCTGGACCAGCAATGATCACAGATCCGTTGCTGATTTCCATTCCAGGACGGGGGGAAAGGAGGCGGGACTGTATATGGGAAAACCAAGGAATGAATTAGTCAGTCGGAATTATCCGTTAAAAGAAAGGACCAGAGTATTGACTGTGGTGAGTTCACCAACCCCCCCACTCCACCCCATGTAAAACAGTCCCATTGCTGGGACAATGTGCATTTACATAGCACCGATAAAAAATAATGGAGGCCATGCTAACCAGAGATATCAGGAGGGGTAAACAACAGTTTTGCCAAAGTAGTCTTACAAAAAAGTTGAAAAAGAAATGATCTGGTTTATATAATCTTATACAACCATTGGATATACCAAATCACTTCACAACCAATTAACTAGAGCTATTATAATACAGGAATGTGACAGCATATTTGTACACAGCAAGCTTCCAGAAACAGTAATGTGATAAATTAATAGATAATATCCTGCAGTTTTACAAATTCATTGACAATTATTGGGCCAGCAACAGAACATCCCTGTTCTTTATGGAAATAATGCCAGAGGGGTCATTTCATGGTCAGGGACAGAAAATACATCCTCAATGATGTTCCTGGTCCAGGCCTGTGGGCCCCTAGGCCTACAACCTCCACCCCCAACCCCCACCCCCACCGTACTTCAGCACTGAAGCCTCTGGCAGCTCTAGGCCCTGACGTACCCCTTGTCTCAAGGCTTGCGTCATCCAAATTGAGCTCGCAAGGAGTTTGGTTTAATGCTTCATCTGAAAGATGGCCCTTCCAACAGTGCAGCACCCCGCCCCCAGTATAGAACAGGAGTTTCAAAGTGGATTATGTGCTCAAGTCCTTGGAGCAGGCCTTAAACCCACAAGCTTCTGACTCAAAAGTAAAAGAATCAATACTGAGTCACGGCGACTACCATAGTCTGAGAAAAGTACAGAAAGGCTGCAGGTTTAGAGAGGGCATGGTGGGATGAAAGGATACCACTGATCATGGCTACACAAATGATTACTTTTTGTAATCTCAAAGTACAAAAAAGGGGCTTTAAAGTTAGGAGAAGTAAGTGAGTTTTGATTATAACCAGCATTCCATAGAGCAAACTGATGCTTGTCTCATCTGTGTAACCTCTACACAATTGGAGATATTTATTTTTGGGGTATACATGGAAATTCAATTCCCAGTTCGGATTATAAGGATATTTTCCTGTTACTTGGGTGAGGCAGGACCATATCATTGGAAGTTGACCAGGCAGTTTGGATATACTCCTGACTGCACATCATGTCGGGCCACTTAAAGGATTGACCAGGGCTATGGACCTGAAATTAATTACACAGCTTGGGTGATAATTTTAATTCACTGCCTCAAATTGCTTGAGCCAAGTGACTGTGCTCTGTCAAATGGTTACTCTTACAATTACCTCACAAACATCCATAGAATCCCTACAGTGCAGAAAGAGGCCATTTGGTGTTGTGGTTGGTTGGCTCGCCGAGCTGGTTCATTGTTATTCCACAGACGTTTCATTACCCTCCTTATCCACGTGGATAGAGATGAGTGAGTATTGGGCATGTTTTTGTAGCCAGTTGGTGCTCATGTAGCCTTGTTGTTAATTTCCTTCCTGTTTGCCCCTCACAGTGCACATCCCACCCATACACTCCATCCCTGTAACCCTGCATTTCCCATGGCTAATCCACACATCCCTGGATACTATGGACAATTTAGCATGGCCAATCCACCAAACCTGCACATCTCTGGACTGTGGGAGGAAACCCACACAGACACGGGGAGAATGTGCAAACTCCACACAGACAGTCGCCTGAGGCTGGAATCGAATCCGGGTCCCTGGTGCTGTGAGGTAACAGTGTTACCCACTGAGCTACCGTGCTTGTTTCAATATTGTAAAAAGCCAGGAATACAACTTGACAAAAGTGCTGACTATCATTAGGAATGAAGACAACAGCAAGAGAGGCAATAAATCCAGGCTTCAGCAGTAGAGGTCAGCAGTCCCATTCAGACCAACCCCACTTCAATTCTTGCAGGTACCATTGATCCAAGTAGGTTATTATTTTGTTCAAGTGCTTGAACAAGAGCCTATCACAGTGTTGTGAATTATTTCACAATCCCCTCAACGCCGGTTCAAGACTGGAAACAACATTGACTATAAGTTGCACATACATCTATCGCCTGAGAGCATGCTCAGTTACTAAGGAGATAGTCGCAGTATGCTGTAGACTCCCTGTTGCCAGGGTGACTAGGTTGCTTTGTTCTATGCTTATAATATTACGAAGCTGCCGTGTGCCACTTTCACTGACGGCTAACACTTGATCCCCAACGGTTTTAGAATTCAGACTTCTCATTTCAAATTGCTCATCAAACGTTCAAAATGTTTTCAGTTTAAATTCAAACTAGAGTTGGTGGAGTTTGTATGTGGAAACCTCCTTTTTTCCCTGCTCTGTCCAAAATCCATTTTCTCCCGTAGATTCTCAACGGAGTGTGTTTTCACATATACATTCCCACCATCGTCAAGCCCACTCCCCATAAGATTCTGCCTGACCTTTGTGTCTCGGCTCAGAGAGCAGGACCTGCCATTCAAAGAGGCTAACACAGCTCAATACTTTCAGTTGCTCAATGATGAGACATAAACTGTGCCAACTTGTAACCTTCATTCACCTGTTGTTTTCTTTTCTCATTTTCTTGCCCCATGATTGCAGAGGGCAGTTATTGCAATGCCCACTTGTTAAACCTGCTGACAGTGATCAACTGTTATTGAGGCCACCTTCCCGTGAAATGGGACAATGACTGTGTCCAAATCGCTTGTCCTGTATGACACAACTCAAATTTCCCAAAGCAACGAGGCAGATTAAATAACACGGTACAGTTTCGGCTGTTCTGCGATGACATGCTCAGCAATCACTTTGCAAAGGCCCCGCAAACAGCGAAGAGATGAATGACCACTTCATTTGCTTCTCTGAGTGCTAATTGAGAAGGAAATGTTGGTCAGGACGTGCGAGAGATGGGTGATGTGCTGACATGCTTGTCCCACTTCCCTGGAATGATCCAATATGATCATGCAACAGAAATGTAACATTATCCGTTAGATCAATATTAATGGAATCACAACAGATGTCTGTCAATAGAAAAGCTTTAATCAATTCTTACAAACAACATGGCAATTCTACACATCAGTGTATGGAATCAGATGTCCTTGGAAAACATTGTTGTTTAGTCCTGGGAGTCTGATTTCTCCAGATCAAGACACTTATACACAAATGATTGCTGAGCAAATGAGGAAACATTCATCATTTTGTCCTGGCCAGCACAGCAACTACAGGATCTTTTCATCATTACGTTTTTCCTGACTTGCATTCTTCAACCCATTGATCACTGTCCTGTATGTCCTCTCTCAAAGTTAGGATTTGGTAACTTGTTCTTCCTTGCAGATGACTTGACCAATATGTACTCAGGCTAATTGGGTCACTTGTTCACACAGCCTG